TTGATTTTGCATATACGATTAAGATGAATAAGTCTATTACAACAACTCCACGATGTAATTACATCCTATATATATTCAAGAAAAAAAATAGTTGAGATCATTTTTGCTTATATGTCACTTCTTCGATCAAATTTTGAGATTTTTTTGTTATATGTTTAAATAAAATCATATTGCTTGATATCCACATGGTAAAAATAAAACTGTATTAAAAAAAGATTAATTGACTTAACCTCTCTCATTCCAAAATTTTCCTTTGAAACATTTGGTCATTTCTGGACAGTTTCCATTTATCCAACATATCTTATTATATAATATGATAACCACTTCACCTACTTTGTCTTGGACGACTTTGATCATATATTTACATGAGAAACGAGTCTATCAATAATTAGTACTAAAATATCTCTTCAATGAAGTCATTATCTCCATAAATAAAACATAAATGTAATGCGATCTTGATATGTAAGCTCTTGGAAATCTAAATATCTTTAGACAATCTTTTCAAAAAAAGTGTAAATGATTCATGCGACTATGACTATCGCAAGAACAAGATACAAAGATACATGTATTCATATTCATTTACTTGCTTAATTATGTATGTAAAAATATACCCGAGGGAGAGAACATTGGCCAATGAATCACTAATCAAAGCAAACATTATTAATCAAGAAGATTCATGCATAAGAGCTAAATGTTGGGTTAAATGAAGCAGGCACTATAAAAGTACTGGCAAGTGTTCTAGTCAAAAATCAAGCGCTTGTCCTCGGGGTTGCACATAGATGGAGTCCTCCTTCGATATGAAGCGTAAGCATTCTCTTGTAATGCACACTGGTCTTCTCATCAGCCATTTTGAAGCGAAAGAAGTGAAGAAGTGCCATTGATACTATCTTCATTTGCCGGTATGCGAAATCTTTTCCGAGGCAGATTCTTGGACCAGCCTACATACACAGTCAAAGCAAGGAAAAAATCTCAGGTATTAGAAAAAAAAAAAAAAAAGCATTACTTGTAGCTTGTCTGCAAGAGAGTGTACAAACATGAAAGCTTATGAATTTGAACGGTGATTCGAGTTGAAACACGCCGTCTTTAAGCCATCTCTCTGGTTTAAATTCCTCGGCATCTTGACCCCAAATGTAAGTCATCCTACCCATTGCATAGGCTATGTAGTAGAGATTATCCCCTTTGCTCACTCTATGTCCATCCGGAAGAATGTCATCATTTTCCGCGCACCTCGTGTCCTTTAGAAGGACAAAAGAAAGATTAAGAAAATCTCAAATCCACATCTATTGGTTCCATTAGCTCTTAAAATGTCAATCACAGAATAAGCTTTTAAGGATTGGTTATTTTACCACAGGCACTGGAGGGTAAAGCCTCAAGGTCTCAGACAAGGTTGCGTGGAGATACTGCATCTGATCAAGAGCCTCTTCGGTTATACTTTGAACGAATCCATCTACATCGACTGTTTTCTCGTGACTCGATGTCACATCTCTAATTTCTTGTACGATTTTCTCCTGAACAAGGGGGTTTTTGCAGAGCATGTACAAGAACCAAGAGAGAGATGCAGCGGTTGTGTCCTTCCCAGCAATCATAAAGCTCAAGATTATATCCCTCAAGTACTTATCATTCATATTCTCCGGATCTTTCTCACTTTCCACTAGAAATCTCGATAATATGTCCTCTCTAACAGCCTATAGAGACGATGCAAAACATTTTTTCGAATGATTTAAAACCGGTAATTTGCAATCGAAAAGAGACTTAACTTTAGAGAACACTCACAGTGTCCTTTTCCTTGGCAAGCTCTTTCCTTTTAGTGGTAATGAGTCTATAGACAAACTTGTCAATAGTAGTAACACTCTTCTTGAGTCTAGATTCTGATCCGATGTTGAGAAACCGTTTCAGTTTCCAAAGCGGATCAATATATCTAGAACTAGTCGCAACATTACCTTCATCAAAAGCCTTCATAAACGCTTCTCCTTCTTTACTAAACCCATCTAAACATCTCAACTCCACACCAAACCCAACTTTAAAGATAGAGTCCAATGTAAATCTCATCAACATATCCTAAAAACAAAACCAAAAAATCAAATCCTTTTTTGAGTTTCGTTAAATGGGTTTTGTGTTTGGAAACTTACTTGAGCATCAAAAGAATTCCCAGAGAGAGCAAACTCGTTTACATAACCAACAAGCTTAGATGCATTTCTTCTAAAAACAGAGCAGCTAAAATCTCTCAAAACCCTAGCGGAAAACTCGAAGCTTGCGAGTTTCCTCTGTTTTTTCCATCTCTCTCCATCAGCAGCGAAGATCCCATGTCCTAAAAGATCACCAAGATTCTCGCGAGCATTTTCTCCTTTACTATAGTTATCGAATCTTGTCTTGAGCATATGCTCCACGTTACGTGGATCTGCAGTTAAAATCTCGCTCTGTCCTGGACTCAAGAACCTGAAAGTTGGCTTTTTTCTTGCGATCTCTGTCTCGTAATCGTATAAATTGTCTCCGTGTAAGAAAAGATCGAAGATTGTTGCGTGTACTGGAGCATACTCCTTGTCGTTTCTTGATTTTCCGGTGAAGATTCTGATCGTGAGGTAGATTGTGAAACACAAAACGATCAAGATCGTTGATACTACTATCATAACTATGCTCGTCAAAATCTCCA